TTGACTACATTATAATTTCATATTTCATATAGAATACCATTCAGAAGCAAAGCGACAAGCCATAGCCTAGATGGCTTCACATATATTGTGAAGTGCATGGTGAAAAAAGAATTCATATTCAAACATAAATACTTCTATAATCAACGGAAGAAGGGCAAAAAATATAATCAACAATACGAAGGAAATACAAATTGTCAACAAGCTCATGATGAACTGCTCCACTGAACTGGTTAGGGACCAAAGTGAAAGAAGGAGACCCATTTCACGGCCATCAGAATGGCAATGTTTGAGCCTAAGGCATAATCAGAGTAGTGAGGAGGATGCAAAATGGGAGCTCCAGCAATCCCACGTCTTGGTATATCCCCATAGAGATCTCTCCCATTTGGGCACATGTACACATATGCACATTTCAGTATCATTCACGATACAGAAAACAGGAAAGACCTTCAAAGTCTTTCAATGGGAAATGGATTTCAAGAATTAAGGTCTGTTCATTCAACAGGCAAAGTGAATAAATAATTGACTGCATCAACATGGAGAAAGATCTGCAAGATGCTACAGGGTAAAAGTCACATAAAGAGAGGCACAGCATGATACTATGTATACACACATCGAAAAGATCTGCTGTCAAGCGAACAATGAGAGCCTCAAAGGCATGCAGTAAAAGTGTAACAGGTTTAGGAAGGTGGGTATGGGATGGGGGGAGAATGGAAGGGGCGGTGGAGACACTGCAGAGAGGAAGGGTGGAGCACTTCTGAAGGCAGGACTTCATTCAACGCTCAACGCATACTGACCAACAGCCACACTAGTCTAGCTACTGGGGATGAGCAGAGAACGAGACAAAAACCCCCGCTCTCTGGATCTTTCGCTTTAGTGGAGAGACACACACAAAACAGGACAAAGACGTAAAATCTGTATTACCTGTATCTGGCATGCTAAAAAGTTCTGTGCAGCAAAGCCACGCAGCGAAGGAGATACAAATGTTGGGCGGAGAGATCTGTAATTGATACTCAACGGGACAGTGAAGGAAGAAGACAGACGACATAAGGGGGCCAGAGTGCCATGTCCCAGGAAGGACGAGGAGGCCGGTGGGTCTGCGCAGACTGGGGTGGAGGGCATCCTATGAAATGAGGCCAGACAGGAACTAGTGGGAGCTGTAGGCTGGGAGCATGACCTGTACTTGCCACCGAGTGAGGTGGCAGGCTCTGGACAGGAGGGACATCTTAACACAGCGATCTTAACATGACGTACATCTTAACAGCACCAGCCTGACCATCTCACTCAGGAGTTCAGGAGGCCACTGCAGTAGACCAAGAGAAAGATCAGATGGTGGCCGGGACTGGGTGGTCGTGATGACACACAGTCAGATCCCAAAAGTACCAATGGGATCCACCGACGAACAGATGTGGAATGTGAGGCACAGGGAGTTGAAGGGGACTCGAGTCTTCTGTTCTACTCTATAATGCTTTATTTCATTTTTTTTAAAAACCTGAATCAAACGCGGCCAAATGCCAGCACCGGTTCCAGGAGTGTGGGTATTTACTATTTTCTGTCCCCTCTGGTACGTCTGAAATACAGCAGATCACAAAGTGGGGTAATTTCATCAGTCAACATCTGAGGTTTTTCTTTAGGTAGAGACCATACCAATTAGGGGTCACTACTTTGCGTCTTGATAATAATGAAAAACACACCTATACTTCTTAAATCACGTTAACAGTGTGTGTGCCTATTACTAAGATGGCCAAATAGTGGAGACAAAGTGCTAGAATAAGCCATTTACTTCCAGCCTTTGTGTACCCACTGTACAACAGACTTACAACAGAGGTAAAGGTTTAGTATTTTCTGCTCAGATCTCCTGGGTGGGATGTTTACTCCTCTCCTTCTACGGCTCATCCTCAATGTGACATGCCAGTGAGGTTAATTAAATAGTTTAAAAACAGCAAGTCACGGTTGATAACCAATATACACTTCTGCTTAGCTGATTTACCTACTTGCTTGTTCACTTTTTATAGTGCCTATAATATTGAATTGTGTGCTGGTTTTTAACGAATGGAGTAAAACTTCGAAGGTTCTTGTCCTTTGCTTACCAGGAAAGCACTTGCTCTCAACAGAGGCCTACTGAAACCTTCCCCTCCATTCTAGCTTACACACTATCTGTCTCTAAAGTCTGGAGACAGATTTTTCTTTTTTAATTAAGAAAGAGAGTCAAAACAATGTCAGTATGGGTTTATGTTCTCTGCAAATCTCCCCCCAGACCGTCAGATATCTTTTGTTTCATCAGCGGCTTCCCACTGGGGAGCGAGTAGGATAATATCTTTTGGGGATCAGGCAACATGTTGTAATTGTAAGTGGTGTTTATGGTTCTAACAGAAATCTAAAGGATGTTAGTAACATTCGTGGAAAACATACACACAAGAAAACAATGAAACTCTCTTCTCAACATGTCTAATAAATCCTACATACTCTAAGTATAAAATAGCTCAGAATTTAAGTTAAAAACAACCTTTCTAAGAAAGAAGAGAGTCTATATTCATACATTAAGAAAGCAAAGAATGGTGTCTGAAAAAATTCTATAGAATGCTCCACAGCCCTGCTGTTGACACGTAAGATGTGACAAGCTACCTCACAAGGAAATCATAAAATCAACACTACAGAAGACTCCAACACCACCTCTCAATTTTAATTCGTTTTAATTACAAAAATAAATATATTTTACTACATGCAAAGCATATATATAAATATATAAAACAAACGTACTCTCACAAAACAATGAGAGCTCAGTATTTAAAGCCAAGACTCTGTTATATAACCACAGGCACTTGGAAAAATTATTCCCTAGAACCGTAATTCTCCAACTGTATTTCTCCAAATATCATGAAATGCAATTATCCAAATAGGCACACCCCTTTTCCAAATAAATACCCAAATTATGCCAACAACCTCTTTTCTAAAACATATTTCTAACACTTAAAAGTTCATAAAAAAATATTTTAAAAAACCTAGAGACATGTGGTAAACATTTTGGTAAACCAAAAATCTGGTAAATATTTAACCCCTGCCTAATGGAATAATCAAGCAGCGTAAATGCATATACGAATATTTTCCCCCTTTTTTTCCACCCAACTGATTTTTTTCTTTAAATTCTTAAAGGGATCTTATTACTACTTAGAACTTTAGAAAGTGCAACCACGCAGCATTTCAGGTATCTAGAAGAAGTCTTTCTTCAATGACGTGGAGCCATCCGTACAAATGCTCCGATTACAGAAGTCAGCAGGAAGTAGAGATGGTCCATGGGACTTTCAAACTCCGCAAGTGACCTGCTGTTAAATTGTGCAGCAGAGAAAGACTTCCCTGATCTACTACCACAAGATGGTTCACAATAAAAAACCTGTAGGACCAACAGGATTAAAAAGAAACCTAGACTCACGGGCGCCTGGGTGGCTCAGTTGGTTAAGCGACTGCCTTCGGCTCAGGTCATGGTCCTGTAGTCCCGGGATCGAGTCCCGCATCGGGCTCCCTGCTCGGCAGGGAGTCTGCTTCTCCCTCTGACCCTCCTCACTCTCGTGCTTTCTATCTCTCATTCTCTCTCTCTCAAATAAATAAATAAAATCTTTAAAAAAAAAAAAAAAGATACCTAGACTCACATTATTGTTTGACCCTGCAGAGCACCCGCAGAATCCCGCAGGTGTCCCATTTGACAGTCTTGAAGACTGAAGCACGATCTGGCCAGAGACACCTGTGAGGACCAGCAGGATGCCGACACCCTCGCTATTACTTACCATCCATGTGGTGTGGCCTTGGGCAGGTCACAGAAGCTCTCTGCAACTAAGCCCCATCCCAGGGCCATGCTCATTTTGAGGATAAAATGAGTTAGGCACATTCAATAGGGCAAACAGTGGTCTCTTAAAGTTCACCACATTGTAACGAGACCACATTTTGCCACTGCAGCCCCCTAATGAGAAGGATCAACGGCAGAGGTGGAAACACTCAACAGGTGTCTCCCCAGTGGGGATGAGCGTGGAGGACAGAGGGAGGGAGCCCAGTGGAGCTCAGGACAGACAAGTGAGGCAGGAGCAGCATGATGAAAGGCTGCACCTGGAACCTAACGTGCAGGCGTTACCCTCCCAGCATGGTGAACACTACCCGTAATCCAGCCCCTGGCGAGTTGGAAAGGTCAGCACAGAACCCCTGTATTATTTGTGGGTTGCTGTTAAAATCCTGCTGTAAGGTTTATTCTTCTAGGTCATCTCTTCCCATGTCCTCTTCTGTTATTCTATCATGCCCTCTGTTTTCCTTCCCACCCCCTCTCCATCTGGCTGCTCTCTTCCCTGCATGAACATCACAACTGTCAGGGACAGCAAACCATGTTACAGAACGATAAGTGCAGTTCTTACCAACAAGAATGCGGTACATGGTCCCAATTTGAAATTATGTGCAACCCGGCTCCCGACTGAATTATTTTAATGTGTTAGTGCATCAAACTGTTGGCTGTCAGAGAGTGACCGAGCTCCGGGGAAAGTTTAAATTATTGGAAATAAAAATGGAAAGAAATGCTTCTTCCTTGGAGCCCAACGCGGGGCTCGAACTCACAGCCCTGAGATCAAGACCTGAGATGGAGACAGATGTTCAAACAACTGAGCCACCCAGGCACCCCTTGTTGCATTTTTAAAGCCACTTCTCAGACACGTTTGTGTTGAACCCTGATCATCTAGCGATGCTGTGCCCTCTGTCAGCACACCCCAGCAGCCCCGCACACGATGACCAAGAGGGAAGTGGGATGGACAGAAGTGGACATCTGGAGAAGCCCAACGTCACGCACCTCACCAGGGGAGGGAGCTGGGATAGACTCCTGTGTCAAGCCACCTGCCAGACACACCTCTCCCACGATGCTGAAGTTGTTTACAAGCTAAACTTCTCGAGATTAACAAAGGCACACTTCGGTGACAGCAGGACGCCCTCCTGAACCACCCAAACCCTGCACATTTTCGCAGAATACAAACCTTTGGGGGGGGTGAGATTGACTCCGTTTTTAAGGCACCACTGTACTGGTAAAATCCCCAAAGAATCCGCATGGCACAGCATTGAGAGTCTACTAGGTTCTGGTCTTAGGTCGTCAATGGTCACTTGAAAAAAATGATTGTTAAAAACCTGAAAGAAAAAACAAACCACAGAGCCGAGGGTTAATTCCGTGGCATTTTCATCTGAAGCTAGTACGAAATGCTAGCAAGCTTCCAAAGGCAATAAATACATTTCATGAAAACGATTTCAGCACAAACCGGCACCTCGATGTATGTGACTAAACTGATCCAGTTGCTAATCAGTTAAGAGTTGATCACTCCAGTCATTTTAATGGAAAGAGAAGCGAATGAGTAGTACACATATAAAACAGAGAAGGAAACAACATGGGTGACTTTAGAGAAGTCAACTGACAGTCAGGGCTGGAAGAAAACCAAACTTATGCAGGAAGACAAAGCCAGGCCTACAGCAATGCCAAGATGGGCCCTGGAAGGTGGGCGGTTTCTCCCTGTCCACAGCAGGGACCCACGAGCTCACACCAGATCTCTCAAGAAGCTCCACCAGCTGGCTTGGGGACTTCCGGCTTCATCCGGCCTCCCAGCCCTGCAACGACCCCAGGCTCCAGCCCAAGAAGAATCACCCCCACCCCCAGGCACATCCCTGCATCCTCCCAGCCTCAACACCCACTGTGCCAAAGTTCTTTCAAAACACCGTGTATTTTTCAAGGTACATCCTGAAAGTCAATGCTGCTGGAACGTTTCCCTGACCACTCCGGTTTGAGTGTAGGTTCCCTGCTCTGTGGCCCCGAAGCTTCACCCCTGCACCTCTGTCCTGAAAGTCCTCATTCCTTCCTGGGGGCTGATCCCAAATCGGTCTCCCCCAACAGATCCTCTGAGGGCAGTCTCCTCTTTGTTACTCATCAGGGTGTTCCCACAATGCACAGAAAATGCTTTGTACACAGGAACTGCACACACAGCCACTGCATGTAGGGAAAAAGAAAACATCAGTGAAGAACTAGGAACAAGAAGAGTAAAATGCAAAACCGAGAGGGACCCAGCACTTCAAAGCATGATGGCGTTCAAGAACCTAAAGTATGTGAAACAGGCCAGGGAGAAAGGCATCACTTTACGAGCTCGACAGACATAAACCAGTCTTGCTTAGGAAACCCTAACACTTACTAAAGCTCTGATTCCTGGCTGCTTCATTTCCAAAGTATCTTCGGGAAGCAGTCTAATTAAAAGCAAAGCAGCAGAGTGCACTCAACTTCTGTTCTCCTCCATGCTGATTCCGGTAAACGGCTGTTGTTGTGCTGCCTGAGGTCTGCCTTCGGAAAGTAGACTTTACAGAGCAAAGGACCAAACCTCACCTTCCCAGAGAGATCTTCCCTGCAGCCCCTTTTAAAACCACATCCCGCACTCTGGCTTCCACCCTCTGCTCGTCCCTTCCCTGCTGTGTCTTTCTCCTTAGCGTTGAACACATAACATTCTGTATGGATTTACTGACTTTGTCTCCGCCCCCCGCCGCCATGAAAATATAAGCTCTGTAAAAGCAGGGACTTTTGTCTACATTCCCAGTGTCCAGAATAGTGCTTAAAAATGCCAATGGGATGGGATGGAGTCTCATATGCGTGTGCATGGACACACACACACACACACACACACACACACACGTATATTAAAAGTGCGGGATTCTGGTGGCTGAATCTCTTAGCACCACTGGACCCTGTAAGGGTGCGCACTAAGGAATCTCTAAAACCTATTAAAATGCACATTCGTGTGTGTGTACTTCAGAAAATAAGTAAATAAGTTTCTTCAAATTCATCAGGGTTATGTTTCACATGTCCAGAGATACTGATCAGGTCTAGAACCTGCAGGTCTCAGAAGTAAAACCTAGAGCAGGTAAGCAACCGGCCCAAGACTATGTGGCTCAGAGGTAGCCATAAAAGAAACAGAACCAAGACTGTTTATCTAAACAATACGATAGATTTCACATACACAGGTCACCGTCATCATCATCTGTCAGTATCATACTGTTCTGGGCCACCAAAAACATAATCTATAATCTCACTGTATGGCTAAAGGCTGGGCATTTCATCCAGGATCTGTGCCACAGTTAACTGCTTTCCTGTCTATTGGCTTTAATGTTATTTATTTATTCCTTCAACAGGTGTGCCATGAAGAAAAGCCTCGAGGAAAATGAAAATGAAAATTTCATTATGATGAACAGTAACAGCGCAGCGTTATATTCTCAAACATAATATTCTAAAACCTTCTCCAGTGTTAGGAGGAATGTGTTTAATTATAAACACCGACTACATTAAGAATATCCTCATATTTCACTCTATGTAGGGAGTCTTGAACCTGGGGACATGCCCATCTATGTGCTAAGAGGCCAAAGCCCACATTTTTTCAATCCATGTGTTCTACAACAGAGGTCCAACAGGAGAAGAAAAAGGGATGCATGCAGAACGGAAAGACTGAGTGTGTTATCTTTGGTAAAAAGGGTAAGAAAAACTAAAATGAAAAAGAAAACGTGTACCATATATACAGTGGAATATTACTCAGCCATCAGAAAGGATGAATACCCAACTTCTACATCAACATGGATAGGACTGGAGGAGATGATGCTGAGTGAAATAAGTCAAGCAGAGAAAGTCAGTTATCTTATTATTTCACTTATTTGTGGAACATAAGGAATAGCCTGGAGGACATTAGGAGAAGGAAGGGAAAATGAGGGGGGAGGGATTGGAGGGAGAGATGAACCATGACAGACTGTGGACTCTGAGAAACAAACAGGGTTCTAGAGGGGAGGGGGGTGGGGGGTGGGTTAGCCCGGTGATGGGTATTAAGGAGGGCACGTACTACATGGAGCACTGGGTGTTACACGAAAACAATGGATCGTGGATCACCACATCAAAAATTAATGATGTATCGTATGGTGACTAACATAACATAATAAAATGAAAAAAAAAATAAATACAAGAAAAGAAAAGAAAGAAAACGTGTACCTTAAAAAAAATCAGAGAAAATATCCTCCCTGGTCCCAACCCCAAGAAGTTTTATTTAGAGATAAAATTATTTATCAGGAAACTAAACTACTGTTACTGGAAATCTATCCAACAAGACGAGGATGTTTGGGCTGAACCTAACCATAAGCAGCATGCCACATTCTAACATGATCGATTACAATTATTTACAGGCACGGAAGTGTGAGTTCACTACTGACAGGACTCAGCACGTCTGCACCTGTTTCCTTTACTGTGGAAACACCAGGCGAAGCTGACACTTAGCCCCTTAGAAAGAGGACTGGGTAATATGCATCCAGGTAAACCGGCAGCTGGCTTCACCGTATCGGCTGCTGCTAGAACAAAGGGAAATCCTGGCCAGGCTTCCGCAAGATACCACTCATCAATTCTGGGAAAATGTGCACCTACCAGAATACACATTCAAGAACCCCAAAAGTCAATTTAAATAAAAAGGCTTTTAATGCACGGTGTATGACTGTGAGGGCATAAATTGCAACCCCCAAAACCATGCTGCAAAAGCCTAAGTCAGTATTTTTCTCGGGCGGGCAGTTATTCTTTACATAAAGTACTGTAAGCGTTATATAAAAGTAATTTATGTTCTAAAGAAAAAATATTTGGAAAAAAAAGAGAAAGGCATTCCATGACTATAACCATTTTCCATACTCTGAAATACATTATCACCGCTGTATTTCTCAATTTTACCAAATCATGAATTTAAAAAAGAGCATACAAAATGACTCTAAGACACTCATCACTGTATTAACAAATCCAGTCTTCCCTGGTAAAAGAAATTAAAATGGAATTGACTTCCGGACCGTTAATTAAGTTCCCTCGCAAAAGGCCATTAACTAAAAACACACTGGGTAAGAATGCTGGGTTTCTCGCTTTCCCCCGCCACCTGTTAGAGGACACTTAAGGTGGAAAGGCGTACTGTAGGGGTGACTTCCACAGGTGACTTCCGTGAGATTATCTGCACGGCCAAGGGAAATTACAATCTGAAAGACCATCAGCCCGTCGTAAAAATAACATCACGTTCAAAGGTAATTTCATTTCAAATCTGCGAAACGTAGAGGCAGGCTCTTCCTTTAGTGAAGGAAAAGCCAGCGGCAAAAAGGCAGCAGACGTGGGGACAGACAATGGAGATGGGTCCCTGGCCGGCATTTCCCGAACGCAAGTCGAGCACACCAAGGACTGTCAGCGGACGAGAACCAAATGACTACTGCAATGATTACCGTGTGCAACTGCCGAGCAGCTCGTGCTACGAGACGGGAACAAACAGACGCGTGGATATGACCCTGGCCAACCACAGAAGGTGGCACATATTCGTGGCCGAGTTCACTGCTGTAAACTCAGCGGCGCACCTGCACCCCCGTCCAGGTCACTCAGGGACACCCGCATCTAGAGTCTTGTCCGTGTTGTATTAACCCCAAACTCTGCTGCAACAGGAGGGCACGTGACCGGCCTGGCTCTGTGTGACCAGTGACAAAAGGAGTGCTGAGGACAGCGTGGCCCGGGGAGAAGGTTGCTCCCTGGCCGGTGTGCTGTCCTGCTCACTGCGCTGACGCCCCGCCCCTGCACCAGCACTTTCCATCTGGCCCACTGTGAGCAGATCGGCGGGAGGCGGAGAGCAAGGGAGGGAAGCTCACCTTGGTCACTGATGCAGGACAGATATGAAAGGGCTCGCTCAAATTCACTGTTTCTAGCTTCATCCCAACTGTGAAGAAATGGCTTCGCAGATCTGCATGATCCTGCAGGGAAAAAAGACAGAAACGCTGAAAGTTGATGGCACTGGAAACTAACTCGGGCGCTGCCTGGACGCTCTCCTGAAACATTTTATTGGGTAACTAAGGTCGGACTGAAATAATTAACCCTCGCCATTTCAAATCTCTCATTATTGCAAGATACCGCGGATTTAATTATTTTCTGCGGGCTAAACTGTTTCTCCGAGGGAAGGACACAAGGCTTTGTGGCCACGCTTAAATTTACACTAAGCAAAAAAATTCACGTTGCCCTGCTTCGATCTTCCTAGGTGCGCTAACCGAAGCACAGCAGAATAATGGAGGCAATCAGTCATCTGCAACACACAGCAGGCGCATCTTCAGGAAACGTGGCCTCTCGCTCCTGGAGCTACTTCGCAGGGCTTCGGGGAGACCCTGTGGCTGACACGACTCGTCCCTGTCTCCTGCGCCCAAGAGCATATGGCTTATCAGGTACTGGTGGTAAGCCGCCGATCCTGGGAATGCGTGCACATAAAGGTCCAGCACAGCCCTGCACACGATCAGAACCCGACTCCTGCTCAATAAAGATGAGCAACACCCCCAGTTTAATAGGCGTCTGGCAGTTTTATAACCCACTCACAGCAACCTTATGTGTATGAGATAGAGCCTTCCTGCCTTCCCAAGAAAACAAATTTCAATATCCACTTTCCCTATCCAGCAATAGATGAGGCTGGCTGGACTCTGGATACCAGGATTTATTTTGCCGAGATGGAGGTCATCTCATAACTCACCTCCTGGATAAAAGCTAGTGGATAAATAAACTTATTTGCGGCCCATCCCTGAGGGCCTAACAGCTGCAAATATATCCTGCAATTTCTAAATACATCCATTGGCCGGGAAGTACACAAATACCGAGGGACCTGTTACTTTCTTTTATCTGCAAATCTAAAGTGGATGTTTAATTAATTCAAGGATGTCATTCCACACGTGACTCAGGATCGTCGCGCAGAGTCCTGCGGGGCTGGGGCTGCTCCCCTCGCAAAAGCTGGTTGGTGCAGTTGGTGGAGCACAGGAGACCACAGAAGACCTGCTTACAAAACTCCCCATCACTCCACTCGTCACCAAAGAAGGTGCAGACTCGCAATAAATGCTGGGCCTGGCCAAAGCCAACGGCGCCGCATCCGGGGGCGGGGTGAGGAGGTGAGCGACGAGAAGGGATGTGTTCAGTGTGCGACATATGACAAAAACTCACCGACAGAGCTAGCCCGTTCTCAACCTTTACAAATTTCTTAAGAACTTAACAACAAGCACTTGACAAAAATCATATACATATGAGGCAAAGCACAAGGAAATATTCTTAAGTGCAGGAGATGATTTTATTGTTTTATACTGGTAATACAGCAGTTTTTTTGAAGATTTTATTTATTTATTTGAGAAAGAGCTAGTGAGCAGGAGAGGGGTGGGGGGGGCAGAGGGAGAGAGGCACGGTCCCCGCTGAGCAGGGAGCCTGACGCTGGGCTTGATCCCAGGACCCCGATCAGAACCCGACTCCTGCTCATCTCAATAAAGATGAGCAACACCCCCAGTTTAATAGGCGTCTGGCATCGGGTCACATCATGACCCGAGCCGAAGGCAGACGCTTCACCGACTGAGCCACCCAGGTGCCCCTACAGCGTTTATTTTTAACAGTGGCTGGGAAGCTGGCTCAGAAAAAAAAAAAATCAAAGAAACAGTACAGAGAGTTAATGCATATTAACACACATCAACCACAGTGCCAAGGCAGGACCAGAAACCACCGGGGGATGAGACAAAAGTGGTAAACCTGAACCGAAAAGCATGAGCTGATACCTGAATGAAAAGATTAAACGTTACAGTTCCTGTCAGACATCAACACCCCCCATATCTCACCACCTGTGGGAACTGAGGCACATTAGTAGGTTGCGCAAATACTCTTCCCCTTTTAAGTACAAGAACCCTTTCCCCTTCTGAAAGAAGGAATTACTCCCAAATCGTAATATAACATAAACTTTGCCTGAATATACTCAACAGGGTGAAGCAGTCATTATTCTCCTGCTTGACAAGACAGAAATGTCCTCAGGTACAAAGGACACACGTGTAACTCCAGCTGAGCCTTGAACAACGCGGTGGTTAGGGGCACCAACCTCCCGCACAGTCGAGAATCTGCACGTAACTTTCGACTCGCCAAAGTTATGAGCCTACTTCTGACCAGAAAAGCCTTACTGATCCCATAAACAGTCGATTAACACATATTTTGTATGTTGTCTGTATGATATACCGTATTCTTACAATAAAGTGCACTAGAGAAAATGTTAGTCAGAAAACCATGGAGAGAACCCATTTCTAGCACTCGGCTGTATCTATCAAAAAAATCTGCGTGTGAGTGGAGTTCAAATCCATACGGTTGAAGGGTCAACTGTATAATAAATGGCCCAGACAAAGGGAAGGTTTTCACAGAAGTTCTGCTTCTCTCTGCTATCAGATGTCCCTCCTTGCTGCCATGTTCCCTCTCATTACTCACAGCGACAAGGCTAAACATTCTCGAGATGTGGCTCACCAGTAATAGAACTGTGTAACTTCTGGCTGCCTCGGCCCCTGGCGCTCTCCTTGCAACTTCGATCCATCACCTGGCTTTGTTTCTCCCTTCTATTTCTGCCATCCGCCATTCCGGACCACATTCTGGGCTTCTGGTCTACCCACCGGTCCTCAGCGCCTCTTGATTTCAGCTCTGTGCCCACTCTTTGCCCCAGATACTTCTGTCCCGACCTTTGCGCTGAGCAGAGCCAGCCTTCCAAGTAGGGCTGACGCAGGGCTGCCGGACCCTCTCTACATCCCAGGATCTCAGTTTGACCTTGACCGCTGACTTGAAGTCCTTAGCCATCTTTACACCCCTCCTGGAGCAATGCTCCAAGCCCTAACCAGATTTCCCCATCACTGATTCCGGTGTTGTGTTGAAAACTCTACGGCACCCAGAACCCTACACCACTAGATGTCCCCTAACAACTGCCTTATTTTATTCACAGTTGTCAGGTGGGACCAGGCACTGGCTGTTTTCCTTAGAAATAAAGCATCAAGGCTTAGGGGCAACAATTTGCCCCTCAGATAACCTCCTTCCAGAGCTGCAGCTAGTGTTGTGTTTATCGTTAACGATTTCAGTGTATTCTGCATCAAACTCTATCTCTAGGTAAAGAGGGGATCATTTCATGCAGAAATCACGTATTTTCTTCCCTCCTTCCTGGAGTGGTCATGTGCTTGTCTGTCAACTACTGAGTGTCTCTCTCTCTCTCTCTCTCTGCTCACCCATAAAATATACCATTCACATCAAAATCATACAAGGCCATATGTGAGATGAAAATAAAATATTAATGACATCAGTATTTTTAAAAAATTAAAATGGTGTTAACAGTAGTTTATCTCAATGACATTAAAATATTTTAAGCAAGTGAGGGGCGCCTGGGTGGCTCAGTCGGTGAAGCGTCTGCCTTCGGCTCAAGGCATGATCCCGGGGTCCTGGGGTAGAGCCCCGTGTTGGGCTCCCTGATCAGTGGGGAGTCTGCTTCTCCCTCTGCCTCTGCCCCTCCCCCCTGCTCGTGCATGCTCTTTCTCTCTCTCTCTCTCAAATAAATAAAATCTTTAAAATAATAAAATATTTTTAAGCAATTTAAGACTAATGCTCAGTGAGCAAAGGTTTACAAACGAGTCTTCTCATTATCAGTCATGGCTCGGATTTCCTACATCTTAAACTACTTCTACTAGCTTTCAATTACTTGCAAGCACACAGACCTCTGACTTGCAGAAATGCATCAGTTTTTGTTCCAAACTGTGTGAAAATTCTTCAACCCTATCGTTTAATATATGGAAAAAGGAAGCCAGACATTATGAGAGATAGCTGCATCTAAACATAGGCGTTTATATTCTGGTCTCAAATAATCGACATCCATGCAGAAGAGCCTCTTAAACGGGAACTCTCCATTTCAGAGACAAGCCCAGCCAACTGTGCAACGCGTTCCTGCATCCCCAGCCCCACCTTCCACGTTCTTAAAGTCACTGTTTAATCAGTAAATTAAAAAAAAGAGAACAATCCTTCAATGACCAGCTGTGTCCAAGGCAAGTCAACACAATGAAAACTTCTACAATCTAGGAGCAAAGACACATGATGATCATGAGTTTGATTATGACTGTGCATCTACTGCTCTAAAGCTTCTGTCCTTCGTGAGTGATGAGGTCAAGAAACTTTGTACTACAAGAGGCAGAACAGTATCTGCTCAGGGGGCTGGCCCCTGGAGACCCTGACACAAACAGGACAGGGAGCCGCGTGTTTGGTGCCGTATTTCCCAGCCAGGCCCGAACTCTCTCGTGTGTGCGCTGCTCATCCTATTAAGACCCCAACATGTATTTACAGAAGTAAGCTGAAGAAATGTCCAAAATTAGACGATTTCTTGATATTCGTTCCAATTCCACAGTCTATGGTTCACTCAATAAGCATGTTAAATACCACCAAGGTACCACACACACACAGAGTACTACATGATGCAGAGAACACACACACACACACACACACAAAACACACACACAAATGACCTTATCAGAGGGGGAAGGAAAAAGACAAAGTACTGCGATTGAAGATCCAGACTTGGAAGAAATTCCAGAAGGAAGATTTTTACCGCAACATATAAAAATCATTACTACCATGATGACGGCGACCCGAGGACTTACAGGAGTGAATCTGAATTTGGAACAGGAAAGCACATGACTTGGAAGGGTGAAGAAAAGATTATGGGAAAGTGGCTTGGTAAATTTAGCTTGGGAGGCTGGGCCTTAAAATACCGGATTTAGACATCTAAGTCTGATCCAAAAAGGCAAAGAGAGTCATTGACACACCTAAAATATAAGAGCTTTTTACGACAATTAAAGAATTCGATGCCAGTAAATTTCCAAATAAGACAATTCACAGACCTTCTGAGCCCTGTGTGTGTGTGTGTGTGTGCCTAAGTACATTCATATTCGTGTAC